AATGGTGAGTAGTGAGGGTGAAGTTGAGTGGTGAGGGTGAGTGGTGGTTGTGATGGTGAGTGGTGAGGGTGAGTGGTGAGGGTGAGTGGTGAGGCTGAATGGTGAGGGTGAATGGTGAGAGTGAGTGGTGAGTGGTGAGGGAGAGTGGTGAGTGAGAGTGGTGAGGGTTAGTGGTGAGGGTTAGTGGTGAGAGTGAGGGGTGAGTGGTGATTGGTGAGTGGTGAGGGTGAGTGGTGAGGGTGAGTGGTGAGGGTGAGTGGTGAGGGAGATTGGTGAGGGAGGTTGGTGAGTGGTGAGTTGTGAGGGTGAATGGTGAATAGTGAGTGGGAGTGGTGAGTGGTGAGGATGAGTGGTAAGGGTGAGTTGTGAGTGGTGAATGGTGAGGGTGAATGATAAGTACAGTCAATATGCACTGCTGTTATCATACCAGGTACCACCACCACAATATGTACTCCTCTCATCATAGCAGATACCACCACAGCAGTATGCACTGCTGTAATCATAGCAGGTTCCACCACAATATGCACTGCTGTCATCATAACAGGTACCAACACAGCAGTATGCACTGCTGTAGTGATAGCAGGTACGACCTCAGTCGGTATACATTGCTGTAGTGATAGTAGATACTGCTATCGAGTTGGTAGATACCGCTATAGTAAATACTAAAACAGTCAGTATATACCGCTACAGTCAGTCAATACTGCTACAGTCAGTATATACTACTATACAGTCAGTACATACTACTATACAGTCAGTACATACTACCACGGTGAGTAGCTACTAGAGTCAGTAGATACTATTATAGAGTGAGTAGATACTGCTATAGATTTTGTAGTTACTACTATAGTCAGTGGATACAACTATAGAGTCAGCAGATACTATACAGTTAGTCGTTACGAGTATATAGTCGGTAGATACTACTGTAGGCCCAGTAAATACTACTATGGTCAGTAGTTATTACAGTCACTAAATACTACTACACAGTCAGTAGCTACTACTGGCTCAGTTGATACTACTGTACAGTCAGTAGATACTACTACAGAGTCAATAGATACCACTTCCTCTGTTGTATGTAAGGTGTTGTTAGTATATATACCTACGAGGGGTAAAGATATTTTTTGAGGGGGGGGGAGACCGCAATTTTCGGAAACCTTTTGACATCAACTATTTACCCCACACTTTCTACAACTTTTTGGACTTGTGAAAGCCTCTTATATATTTGTTGGTGGAGAAATGTACAAACAGCCCACCGGGCTTTGACAATACCTTAGTATCTGTGTGTATATATGTAAGGTTTTTAAGAAATATATTTTTCACCCGGGCAAAGCCGGGTACTTCCGCTAGTACAGGATATAAAAAAACACATTTTCGAGTATACTCACTCACATCATGCATTTATTAAGACTAATAAATAGCAGGCATGAGTGATATTGAGAATTTTGCATTAAATATTGAGCCGCAGTGTCCCAATGGTTAACGTGCTATGAACCCTACCCAAGTTCAATTCCTGACCACGGCTCACATCAGCGACGAGGTGATATTTGAACCGGCCGTGATTGGCCCACCACCTACCCAACACCTTTCCAAACCCACCACTGATCGGTGTCATGAAGTATGATCAAAACCCCATAACCTTGAGTGTTGGGAGACATCCACCCAGCAGTGTTGACAAAGAGCTGTACAGGTTTCCCTAGCTTTATGCGGTTTTAACAAATATGCGGCTAGCCAATTTGTACCCAAAATTTCATTCCGCGCGACGTGAATTCACGCATACTTTCGGCTCAGGCTTGAGACAACATTGTGTGTCGTGTGTGCGCTACTCGGCATGCAGTTCTCTCGCTCGGTTTGGCTTTCTGCGTCATTTTATTTTTGGCAAAGCATCTGCTACCGCATGAAGCGAGAGAAACCCTTATACGATTATTATGTATTATGGAATTTTACTGTTTTACTACAAGTGTAAACTTCACAAAACATTGTTAGACTGGGGTGTTTGTGAAAAGGACAAGAGTTTTAACTCCTTAAATATACTTGTAGATACAGTGAGGGAAAAAAAGTATTTGAACCCCTGCTGATTTTGTACGTTTGCCCACTGACAAAGAAATGATCAGTCTATAATTTTAATGGTAGGTTTATTTGAACAGTGAGAGACAGAATAACAACAACAAAATCCAGAAAAACGCATGTCAAAAATGTTATAAATTGATTTGCATTTTAATGAGGGAAATAAGTATTTTACACCCTCTCAATCAGAAAAATGTCTGGCTCCCAGGTGTCTTTTATACAGGTAACGAGCTGAGATTAGGAGCACACTCTTAAAAGGAGTGCTCCTAATCTCAGCTTGTTATCTGTATAAAAGACACCTGTTCACAGAAGCAATCAATCAATCAGATTCCAAACTTTCCACCATGGCCAAGACCAAAGAGCTCTCCAAGGATGTCAGGGACAAGATTGTAGATCTACACAAGGCTGGAATGGGCTACAAGACCATCGCCAAGCAGCTTGGTGAGAAGGTGACAACAGTTGGTGCGATTATTCGCAAATGGAAGAAACACAAAAGAACTGTCAATCTCCCTCGGCCTGGGGCTCCATGCAATATCTCACCTCGTGGAGTTGCAATGATCATGAGAACGGTGAGGAATCAGCCCAGAACTACACGGGAGGATCTTGTCAATGATCTCAAGGCAGCTGGGACCATAGTCACCAAGAAAACAGTTGGTAACACTGAAATCCTGCAGCGCCCGCAAGGTCCCCCTGCTCAAGAAAGCACATATACATGCCCGTATGAAGTTTGCCAATGAACATCTGAATGATTCAGAGGACAACTGGGTGAAAGTGTTGTGGTCAGATGAGACCAAAATGGAGTTCTTTGGCATAAACTCAACTCGCCGTGTTTGGAGGAATGCTGCCTATGACCCCAAGAACACCATCCCCACCGTCAAACATGGAGGTGGAAACATTATGCTTTGGGGGTGTTTTTCTGCTAAGGGGACAGGACAACTTCACCGCATCAAAGGGACGATGGAGGGGGCCATGTACCATCAAATCTTGGGTGAGAACCTCCTTCCCTCAGCCAGGGCATTGAAATGGGTAGTGGATGGGTATTCCAGCATGGCAATGACCCAAAACACATGGCCAAGGCAACAAAGGAGTGGCTCAAGAAGAAGCACATTAAGGTTCTGGAGTGGCCTAGCCAGTCTCCAGACCTTAATCCCATAGAAAATCTGTGGAGGGAGCTGAAGGTTCGAGTTGCCAAACGTCAGCCTCGAAACCTTAATGACTTGGAGAAGATCTGCAAAGAGGAGTGGGACAAAATCCCTCCTGAGATGTGTGCAAACCTGGTGGCCAACTACAAGAAACGTCTGACCTCTGTGATTGCCAACAAGGGTTTTGCCACCAAGTACTAAGTTATGTTTTGCAGAGGGGTCAAATGCTTATTTCCCTCATTAAAATGCAAATCAATTCATACAATTTTTGACATGCGTTTTTCTGGATTTTGTTGTTGTTATTCTGTCTCTCACTGTTCAAATAAACCTACCATTAAAATTATAGACTGGTCATTTCTTTGTCAGTGGGCAAACGTACAAAATCAGCAGGGGATCAAATACTTTTTTCCCTCACTGTATGTCTCTGTAATATATTATGTATGTAGTATGGATAGGTTTCGCATTTAATTTACCTGTAATCAATTTGTGGTTATTTTGAGCCCAATTTAAAATCTTTGTCTCATTATTTGTTCAGTGAAAGTACATTTCCACAATGATCAATTTTATCCCGTAACATACTAAAATTTTAAAATTGGAATCATCATTTAACATTTGTAGAATGTATTTTTTACCTTTTAAAATATGTTTGTATTTTAATCATGAAGTAAAAATGTTCATGTAGTGTAAATAGTATTGTTTATAAATTTTGCCAACGATGTATACGTTTTCTCTCACGTGCACTTGCAACTGATTGCTCAGCTTTGCAGATAAAGTTATATATTATTTTAAAAATTGTATGTGATGTGTTCTATGAGCCTTCTGTGTGCTGATTGTACCGTGTTGATGAACAACCTTGCCGTTTTAGAACTTGACCATGAATGGTTGTTTTTAGATTGTTTTGTTCAAGTTTTTGTTGTTGCTGTAACCAGGTTTATACGGTGTAACCATCTAAAATGAGCATTTATTTTACCAATGAGTTTTACTTGTGCCAAAATACAACCCAAATTCATAATAATGAATGCCCTTCACTGAAGGAAGAAAGACTTGGCCTTGACAGTCGCTTTCAGGAGAGCCCCTGCATCACGATGTTTGTCAAATTCCTTTTTCAACTAAGAAGAGTTTTTCTTCCGTAGAACATCCGCTCATACAAAGAGATAATGAATCCACGTGCTGTACTGGAATTTCTTGACCACCAACTCACAGAACAGCAGGTTTTTGGGAGATTCACAAATCTCTACAAAATGCACCAACCCAATGCCTCTAAAGCGCTGCACTACAGGCGTGCACTACCAAGACCAGCTGTACAGCGGCTGCAGGCGGTGGCATGAAGCATCTTGTGCACTGGTTCACTCACAACACCTGAGTAACTCTGACTCATTTGCTCACGCACACCGAAAAACACCTCGAACGCACTCACTCTCTCACACATTCACACATGCCTCGGTCACTTTCACACAGACTCATTCACTCCCATGCACTTTCAAACAAACTTACACGTCTTCCACGTTTTAGCAAAATTGACATCACAATAACATCACTTCTCTCCTCAACACACACTGATAAGTTATGCCCCAAACTGTTATTATTCACGTTTTCAAATCGATGGAAAACACAGGCTCAAATTCGAACAATCGAAAATTATTTATCAGATTTTTTTGTATTTATCCAAAAACTGGGAACACATCTCCTGTACATGTGTACTGTACAGTCCTGCTACAGTATACATAATATGGGAATTGGTAATGCAGCTTGATGTAGAATATATGCAGCCAACAAATGAAAACAAACAAAGTAGAGTAATTTACTGATCTGAAAGTTTGGATTTTACTGTGGCGATTTTAAACAACACTGCATGCTTACAGGATTTCTCTGTGGTTTGTACACACTGTAAAAAACAAAAAAACAAATACAGTACTGTATTGTACAACTGTTCACCACCTCTGCTCCCCTTTTGCTCTTTCATTTCGTGGCAGTGAACGAGAGTGGAGCCACCGAACATAATCATCATGCATCGACACTCATTTTCATCTCTATTACGATTTTGGCAAGAAATGATTCGGTCAAATATATTCTTTCCCAACAGGGTTTTCGCAGTGCTCAATTTACAATGTAATCTTTCACATGGTAAAAACATGCCCATGATATTTACCAAAGATCAGTTACAGTACGGTACTACCTTTTTCAGCTTACAGAATTTAAGACACGTATACAGTAAATAAATAACATCAAAGAGGAGGGGAAAATTGAGAAAATGGGGTTTCAAAAGCAAAGGTCTCCTCCACATGACCCACTCAGTGCACAATTTTCCAGTCCTCATTCCTGCCCTGCTTTCATCACAAGCAACGTTTACAAACCTCAAATTAAAACGTTAACCCACAAAATGACGACAAATTGACCACACTTTTCTAAGGCAAGTTCTACAAATGTTACACGGGTATATGTAAGGACTGGTGTTTGCAATCACTGCTTGCGGTGTTTGGCTGCTGTGATAACTTTGATAACACACAAAAATCAAAGTCCACTAATCACTCGGTTCAAATGTTTAGCAGTCCATTGAGATACGCGGTGTGGAGGAGTGAGCCATGGATACACTACAGGTGATCTACAGATGTGTTTTAGTGAAGACATTTTCACAAGCAGTGGAGTGAGCAAGACATTTCACTGCACCTTTACCTTTTTATCGTGGTAAACACGTCATCATTTGGCACGTGCACTGTAACATGGCGTAAGGTGATTCGACAGATGGGTGTACATTAAATCTGCCGTACACGGATTCCGTCAAAAATAATACGACAAAACAAACTGTTTATCCTGTTATGAGATTAAAACAACAACACAGCCTCCTGCTTATGGAAAGAAACCCCCAATTCGCTAACTATCCACGAATACTTTATTTGTAATGGGTGCTGTTTAACATTTAATGGTGGAAAAATAAGAAATTCATGATTAAAATATCGTTGTATTGATTACGCATGCGTCAGTCGTTTAAATGAAACATAAAATAACAATTGAGTTAAGTCTGACATTGTTAGAGCTGTTCTTACCATATATATGTACCAAATCATTCTTATAAACATATTACAATAAAATTCACCATAACTGGCATGTAATTGTAAAAAAAAACATGCCATTACTGAGGGCTGTCTTGGTAACTAATATATCCAAGATCTGTGCATGCAAAGGATTGCAGCTACAGTACAATACAATGTGAGATATCGGCGTGCCTGTTTGTGTTCTGCCTGTTGACTAATGCTCGTCAAGCTTCAAACTGCTGACGATTATATGCAAGTGTCTCCTGTGGGCCTATGACCAAATCACCACGAATGCACCCAATCTCAGCTGATCCTGGAAGCTAAGCAGAGTTTGGTCTGGATAGTGATTGGACAGGTGACCACCATGCACAAAAGACAGACAGTCGTAGGGAGGCGTTGTAGGCGAAAGAAAGCAGTGCAGACAAAGCCACGATTATGTATAACCTCCCACCACGCTACCTTCACCAAACCCGCACTGACCAGCGTGGTGAAGTATGGTCATAATATCTCTTACAGTCGACAAAGGTGTGGGGTGCCCTCATTCAGCAGTGGATTGACAAAATGTGCGATGAATGTTTGCTGGAGCCACAATACTCTCATCATGGAGCATAAACTATCACACCAACTCCGCTCATCCTAGCAGTGGCTTTTGGCTAGCCATCGAACAAAGACGGTTACCGCATCGCACACTTTCAGATGCGCTTCTGCGGCCGTCTGGAACGCTCTTCCTTCTGATAATAGGAAGCTAATGGAACGATGCAATTTTAAACCTAGATTGAAAACGCATTTCTTTAGAACAGCTTTTGTGTTTAGTTTGTTGTCCTTCCCCGCACCTCCGATTAACACAGTTCGGCTACGTACGGTGTGAAAAAAAAATTCAACATACATACAACCAATGCGATTTAATCATCCCTGATTTTTCTGCGATTTCATTGAGTTGGTCAAACACCCCTGTGGACTCTCATCAGAAGAAACCCTTGAGCCAATTGTTCAATGGCCTGTTGTACATTTTTCGTACCACCAAATGCACAATCCAGTTTCTATACACAATGCAGAACACAACAGCATTATGTAGATATCAAAGACGTGAAAATTATATAAACGTCTATAAGTTTAAATGTTTTATACAACATTTGTAATACATGAAGTGCTGTTGAAGATTGACTTCGAACAAATAACACGTGTCAATGCTGTCAAATTACAACCACGACCAAACAAATGTTGATGCAAGTTAAATTACATTATACTGTTTGTTAATAAGTGTCACACGTTGAAGGCATGCACTCAACTAAATAAGTACAATCAACATATACAAACTTTCATGAAGGTATGATCTAGCTATCGTCAATCATTATTTACAATTAGTATATAAAACAATATTCTGTATATAGTTTATAGAACATATCTATATACGCGCCTTCAGTATCTGATGGCGCTAATAAAGGCAGTGATACACATCAGATATTCCATAACAAAAAAACTCCACAATATAGACTCGTTACGTGATGATGATGACGACGATGATGATAATATTAATTGTGTTCAATACAAAACATCCACAACGCCAGCAGGTCAAAATAATCACAACCATAGTGACATAAATGTAATTATACTGTGGCTTAACAAGTCCTAACCTCTAAAGACGAAAAAAACCCAGCAATATATATGTTACGTATTAATATAGTGGATGTCATTTGCATCGATTTGACATGAAAGCATTTGTCGTAGAATACAACTCAAATCATTACCCAGTAAACATGCCACCTTGGGCCAAAGTTTGTACATGGTTGCAAACGTTGGCTCAACACTTGGTCCAACGTTCCGTATTCAGTGGGTTATAGGCGCTATTGAAATGGATCATACGCAAGACACGCTGAATATCTGTAAAGGGCTGGTTGGTCAAATCTATAGCTTCCTTTACCTCCTCACCGTAGCCTTTATCATCAACCGAATCTGGCAAAAAAAAAATACGTGGGATATAACATTTACCCGAAGCTAATTAATGATGGATGTGAAATCGCATTCCGGTTTAAATGCACGTCGGCTAAGTGTGCCCCAACAATGACCGAACAAGGCCCTCGATTAAAGGTTTTACCAAGTGGTCACACAGTACATAAGGGCTACTCCACGCGTGGTCTCAATGTGTTGAATGTGTAAACGTTTTGCTTCATCCGATGGGGTTCGTGACACCCCAACAAATGTCATCGAACACTGTGTTAAACTTAACATCGATCGTCCGGTGGCCACATCCCAGAGCTTGGATTTAAACAAAAATAAGTACAGAAACGTGTCTGCCAGAACAGTGGAGCCGGGCCTCCTACTCTCCAGCTCAGACATTCGCATGGCTCACACGGACAAAGATCCCCCGTATAGCCTAAACAGATTGTAGGAGCAAGTGCTGTTAGCGAGCACCTATAAAGGCCGGCACGGCGGCGGTGGGTGGCCAACACCACGCCCGGCCGCCTTTGTCTCTCTAGTGGCGATGTTTACACTATGCACCAGGTACTCATTTGAGGCTGAGTCGACCTAGGGGAGGCCCAGGACCGGTTCAGATAGTCGTCACTGGGTGTTGGCCGTGAGCGGGAATCGAACTCGTGTCGCCAGGTTTGTAGCGCAGCGCGCTAACCGCTACACTACCGCTCACACAGACAGCCACACATACATACACACACACCTTGGTCAAATATAAAACAAAGCTCATTTTTTGCCCACGTCACCAAGCTGGCTGCATGTATAAAGATGAATGAATGTTTGGTGGGCACATATTCCGTGTTGTTTGGGGGGTATACAGGCACTGCAATGTAACCTGAACAGTTGTGACTCCCCCTGCTGAATGTTGAGTCTTACCTTCTCAGCGTCAACATGGAGCCAAGTCCTTTCTCTTCCCTCTCATTGATCCATTGTGCATCACTCATTGCCAATGAGTCAAAACACTGCAACTTAAATACAGTATCCCAAGTCGTGTACCAACAGTGGGACGTTTAATATATTTTTTAAAAATATATATCTTTATAGTTTTCATTCAGTTCCCCAAAGAACGTCAGTCTTGTTTTCTTTCTCGCTTGTGATTGTTCGCCGATTGGTTCACAGGTGACATGAATCAAATATCACCACCGATTCGTTTCATGCTGACTTCTAAGAATGAATAGAATCACACAGTAGCATTCTCTGGTAAGTGCGTTATTAATGCACACACGTGGCTATTTTGATTCTCGCAATTGATTTGTTTACGAATATGCAGAAAACTACTTTTGTAAAACCAAAAGACTTCATCACAGCGAAAACGTGGTCCTGCCAGTAGCGACGAGATGCTACAAATCTGTGTCACTTTGACTAGAATAACGCTGCGAATCAGCCAAGAGTCTCTGTATATGGCACATATATAATTACCTGCTTTAAGCAAAAATGTAGCAAGCACCCACCCCATTTCACAGCTTCAAAAGAGCCTCTTGCATCCATCCATACGTCCATAGACTCCACACGTTCACATCTTGAAGGACGTGCGTAGCCCTACCAGCCCACACACAGCCTTAATGGCACTTCCAATGAATTTAGTATGTGCGCTCATAGCACATCAAGGACAGAAAACCGCTCCACGAGACATGGCCTCTTCACCTTATACATTCATCCTCCTCTCCGAGTTCATCTTGCGCAGCTTGGCTGGCAGGTTGTCCACCGTCCTCGTCCCAAATGTGCTGTTAATCCTCTGCAGCTTGGGTGGCAGCTCCGCAATGGACTTGGTCGAGTCCGTGCCAGATCGAATCGCCTTGAAGGTTGTCCTCTGCTCCGTGTCCACCAGCTGGTCACCGTGGCTGCCGGGCACCGAGCTTATCCGCTGCAGCTTGAGGGGCAGGTCGCCCATGCTGCAGGTCTTCTCCGTTGTCATGGAGCTCATGCGCAGCAGCTTCTTGGGCAGGTCCTCCCGGCTCACGTTCATCTTGCGTAGCTTGGCCGGCAGGGTGCTCAAGATGTCGTCGGAATTGTCCAGGCACTCGATAGAATGCTTGCTCTGGCCCAGGTTACTGCCGGAGGCCACGCTGCCCGTGATGCAGTTGTACGGCGGGCTGGAGAGAGGGCTGGAGGGCAGCTTGAGGGCATCCTCCAGCTCCCGCACGCTGTACGGCTGGGTGGGCACTTCGAACGTGGTGTGGAACTGTGAGTAGTCGACTCGGAAGAAGCCTTCTTCCAGCGAGATCACTGGCAGGAAGCGGTGGCCCCACATCACCTCGTCTTCGGTGTAAGATGTCCTGGCCTGGCACGTCATTCCTGTCACATCACAAAGAATGGAAAGATCACCCCGGCACAAACAGCGCCCGCCCCAACCCACTCGTTAGCGACAATAGAGACTGTTGCGGGATTTAGGCTGGAACGACAGATGAGGGAGCTGTGTGGCTAAAGCAACCGCCTGATCGATTGACTTTGTCTCCCCAGTGCCTTAGTTGACACAACGGGATTAGGCATACTCATTTTAGGCTGAGCTGACCTTAGGGAAGCACACGCTAGTTTCAGATATCACTTGACAACGAGAATCTTTGTGAACCACAATGCCACGAATCATCAGCCATGATCGAAACACTGCTGAATGAAGGTCTCCTCAGTCGTCACCACCCCTCATGGTCTTGCAATGCCACAATCCAAGTACTCTTGCAATGAGCTAAGATCATCGCTCCATCTCTGTGTTGGTCGTCCTCCAGGGTGTGTTCCCTCCTTTGTAATTCTCGTCCATCTACCATCAAACCCTTCTGATGACGTATGCTACCAATTCGGCATACGTTTCTTTGCAGTCAATATGATGACTACATTTGCCTTTATTCTCTGCTGCTCGGTGTGCTTCAAGCATCTATCTCCTTGTGCTTATTTGCGTACGTCCAGCTTATATATTTACTTTGTCGGCGCTTTTTTTTTCATCAGACACATTACCATGTTATTTTTTTTTATTACATTAAAATTTTAAAACGCACTCCAACATGTCCAACCTTTTCTATTTATTTTACAAATTTTATCCTGAGACCTTTGTGTCAGTATCAAAGTATGACAAATAAGAATAGGTTTACTCTCCATGGCAACAAAACAGGTGTTAAGATCTTTTTGGTTCTTTCGGTAAAGTTACGTAGAATGGACGGCTGCTTGCGTTGTGGCCAAAACGTCGTGAGAATGATTTTATTATGTTTTATTTTTATTATTTTATTATTTCCATTCTACGTGACTTTACCGAAAGAACCAAGAAGATGAATCCCTGCAGTCACGAAAGCTTTAAATCGAAAGGTGTTAAGATGTTCAAACACCAAATAGAAACCTTTTGCAAGTGTAATAAAAGGACTCGGACACTTCCTTCTGTCTTCGTGTCTTTTATTGGGTTCTCGTCCTCACCCACACGGCACTCTGTTATAACTCTGTATTTGTAGCCCCCGGCTATTCACTGCTATTATAGCTCCTTCTTCCCTCTGACTCTCCGCTTCATCTACTGTAACCTCCTCCCTGCAGACTCGCTGCTACCTCTATGCAGACTCCCGCTGCTACCCCTATGTGCAGACCCTCTGGCTGCTACCGTATGCAGACCCGCTGCTGACTCTGTATGCAGCCCCGCTGCTGACTGCAGCCTCCTCGCTGCTTCGGGTCGGTCACCGCTGGCCAACGGTGCCGATCCTCGCTCCCCCGTGTTCGTGGCGATCTCGCCACCCTCTGCTTCGCCCTTCGTGGCCTCTCTCTGTTCCTGGTTCCCCGTCACTCCCTATCCTCTTCCGGTTCCCCTCCTTCTATACTCAACCCCTCTCCCCCCCACGTGACCTAACTCCTCCCCTCATGACGGCACCTCCGGAGGGCCGTTTACACCCGCATTACACAAGGAATCATGCCTGCATTCACCGCAGTACTTGTGGTGAACATGCAAACAAACATGCTCTGATAACAAAAGCATTGTCTTTGAAACTGATTAGCCAGCAGCAGAGACAGCTTTCTTTATGGCCTCGTCTCACCAGTGTCAGAGCAGAGAATAACGCCAAAAGGTGACCAGTACAAAGACAATGCCACTATTAGAGCATTTAAAGCTGCTCATCCCAAGCTAAAATGCTCTGATACATGTACCACCGCAAGTACGTGTGCTAAACGCAGACTTCATTCCTTGAAAAAGGCATCTATTTAGTGTTTGAACATCTTAAAACACCAGTTTTTTTGCCAGAAAGGGTTAATCCTATTATTATTTTTCATGAAGGTAATCATGTTCAGCCTTATATAATTGCCTCTGTATAAATGTTTTTAAACTCATGTTCTTCAAACAATGCGGTGTTTTGTTGTTGCTTGGAGAACTTGTATACGATTCTGTCAACGTCACGCATCATGGTTCTAGCTTGCCCGAGAAGGGCTCTGCTAATTATGACTCACCAACAATCAACATCCTTTTTGCTCAGTCATGCTCCATAATGTTTGTGCTGTTTTCTTATTCACTTTCCTCATTGTATTTCCAAGTATTTATTATTATTTATTTTGTTGGAAATGTCCATCCATTTTCATATCTCTGTTTTTCTCCAACATGCTTTGGTGGTGTCAGATTACCTCTTCTGTCAGATGTTTTCACTTTCCCCACACGTTTAGTGTACGGTGTGCATCACAGTGTTATTATGACATGACTGAAAGCGATTAAAGCCCTTTGTAATTTTGATTTGAATTTAAATGAATTCACCTGCCTCATTAACGATTTTTTTGTTGCCTGTTTTTAGCAGTGTCGAAGATTAGCTTGCATTTTAATCGGCATGTGATCACTTCCTGTGTTAAATTTGTTGACGGAGAGACACAACTCAGGACAGGCACAACTCAATCAAGTCAAGTTCATTTGTAATTGCTCCATTTCGCTCCTCCATTTCCATTCTATTTTTCCTTTTTTTAAGTTGATCATTATCTTCGTGTTCCTACTGGCTGAAAACCCTAATGGACATTCTCCTATCATTCCTCACCCATATGATGCATTTACCAATCATTCTCTCATCTCTGCACACGCTTAACTTTGTATATATTTCAGTGTATTTTGCCCTCATTTAGAAGTTAATTCATTCTTATGTTTCATCTACTTCTAGATCTTCAAGGCTTTTTGTTGTTGGGGCATGCATTTTTATTTCCTTGCAGTGTCCATGATAGCTGGATTACTCTATCTGAAGTACTCTATCTTCGATTCCCAGACGGACCGAGAATCCCACTACCTGATCATTACCTGTCACCACCAACCAAACGATATGCACATGCACTGTCCAACATAGCTTTCATGAACCCTCATTGTCCCACATGCTTTCATGTAAGTGCACAACAGATGCTATCCCTACTTAAAAAGACAGTTACATATTCGTTAACATTATAATTTATGCTGAGAGTATGGTTATAAATAGCTTGTAATTGAGTTCAAATTGACATAACATTCATATTACGATAAATGGGTTTTGCCTTTAGAAAATGTCCACTCGACCAACAAGAATTAACATTCAAAGACTGTTCATAAGAATTATATAACCGATGATGCCATCTTCAATACAATGTATTTTTAAATTTGAGATACATTATTTCACATTTTATTTTAACTTATTAATTCTAGCGTTTGCTCGGCATGATATTTTATCATCTTTTTTGGAAATGTTGGCGAAAATAATCCTCATGCAAATAGCCTTTCAACTAAATCACAATCAATTGTATATTAGGGCTTGCATAATAATAAACAGCTTTAATCTCGTAAATTGGACAAATCATCACTGAGTCTCAAGACATTTTTTCAAGAGAATCCTGCATTGGGAAGTTTGGCGATTTCAATCGAGTGTTTTGCATGTAAGGGGAAACTGGAATACCCAGAAAAACCAACGGTGTATGTGAGAGCATAACACTCAAGAGTCCTCGCAGATGGGCTCACAAGCCCACATGCTGTACCACCGTCGCCTGGCCAACCATCAGCCTAGCGGTTCTGGGGAGTACCACAAATCTGTGTGTGATACACTAACAGGATTAAAAGCATTATGTTGGATTGTCCAAAAGCTACAGCAGCTGTAACTATGTGCTCCATACCCGTGGTCTCGACTATGCCCTCCAGGATCACCACCACTTCAAACTGCTCCGTCTGAAGCGCCCGCTGTGACAGCTCATAGAAGGGGCTTCTGTCGTCGATGACGTGGCAGATGGTGAGTGGCGAGACGAGGAAGAGCTGATCGGCCCCTGTGCTGAAGCCCACGTCCAACTCCAGCTGGTCGAGTGGCAGGAACTCGCCTTCCCGCGTCTGTCGAGACTGCGGGCAAAAATGACAACAACTAAAAATCCCCCCCACGCATATAGACTTTTGTATCGACTGGCGTGTAAAGTGCTGTGAGCGAACACCTATTAAGGCTGACATGGCACATGTGCGGTGGTGTCAGGGACCTCATAGGGTAGACCCAGGACTGATTTATCCATTACTTAGAAAATATATTTGCTATGGGCAGGAATTGCCAGGTTTGTCACGGAGTGAGCGTACCATTGTCCCACGACTCCCCGCATGCACATGCGCACTCAAAACCACACACCTCTTAACAATAAAAGCCCTTTACCTACGTTGAGTTTGATAATTCTCTCAAAAGGGCCTTACATGGTGATGTTTGGCCAATTCTATTGCACAGTCTATACATTTTAAATGATCTCAAAGAGGTAATGAGATTCATTACTTGAGATTCATCACCTCTATTGCTAAGTTATTATGAGGTCTACGAACGTGTGGGTATTGAGCTTTGATGCTGACAATGGGCTGCCCTTGCCTTTGATTCACGTTTTTACAGCAGATATGTGCTCTTAGGTTTTTTCGGTAAAGTCACGTAGGTAAAAAATTTTTACATTAATAAAAGTAAAATAAAACAAATAAAAAAAAGTGTGCCGTTCCTGGCCCTTCCCCCCTCAACCATTATATATACGGGGTAGTATTTCTTGTGATCTCTCATTAACTTGATACAGCTGTCGTGGCTGTGACGGTTCCACCTGAAGACGGAGGCTTGTGTCGCTTCCGAAACGTCGTGAATTTTTTAATTTGTTTTATTTTACTTTTATTAATTTAAAATTTTTTACCTACGTGACTTTACCGAAAAAACCTAAGAGTATGAATCCTTGCAGTCACGAAAGCTTCAAATCTAGAAGCAGATATGTGCTTCGGAAAATTCTCCGCCAAAATTACTGGGCAGTTACCGAGTATTGTCGACTGTCGACACCTTTATCTTTGATCCAAAGGCGAGATCCTTAATCGCATGGCTACAGATTTACAAGTATATATGTTTACATGTATGTTTATGTCCATAGTTCAGTCTCTTTGAAATCAGCATTTTGTACTATTATTTTCAAAGGAGACCTGCTGTTCATACTATTAATGGCAAGTTATTCTGGAATTCTGGGCTCTATTGAAATTATTTTAAATATTGGATTTTATACAAAATATGATTTTTGTGACAATTGACATCGTGAAATAAGTGTGCATGTCGTGCTCCTATAAAAGCATGCACCACTAATATCCTTCTTGGATGCCACAAACATAGAAACACTACCTAAATATATACAATTTTTTTACACCAATCATCACCACATGGCCTTCTGCCAGTTTTTTTGCCGCATTGGTGTAATAAAAGCAATCACTGGACCAGTTTTCATAATCAGTGGCGATTAACATAGCTAGGTTTTCTGAAACCAATGCTGGGCATGTGTCAAATATTTACAGGCAAATACACCTTCTCTTTAGAAAGAGTCCTTGTCAATAAACATCTGCATATAAACAACTGCCAGTGCACCAGCATTCGTTTAAGCAAACATGACTCCATTGATGAGACATTGACCGTCAAAAACCCGTGCAGAGTTTGCTTGTGTTAAAACAATGTTTTGAGAAGAAAAAAAAACTCACAGAAGGCCATATGATAGGATGCGAATTTTGTTTAAATGCTTTATAAAGATGGACAGAAATGGAAAAAAGCATTGTTTGCCTATGTATGTGGTTACTTATATTCTTCACAATGAGGCCGACGATGATAAATGTTTTGCTGTAAATACAACCATGTCACATCGCTCAGTGCATTGATGCTTGCCAGATGTCAGCATTTTTTTTTCCAAGCAGAAATTCGAGGTAAAAAAATATGAAGTATTTGCGCCATTTGAGATTTCACAGAGCATTGGCATAGAATATTCCAATGTTGGTGGTATTAAAATAAATATATCATCCCTTCTATGCTTGTTAAATACAGCACAATAAAAACTGACCATTATCCTTACATACATCTCCGTCAAAATGAAATTATAAATTTTATAATTACCGCATTGATTGCATCTGAGGGTCTAAAGTGGACGATATACGCGCTCCATGCACTCACGATTAGCAGTTTATGGATTCTCCAACGTAAAGCTCCCTTTATGTATTCTAATGTTTGAGTAACATAAAGAGCTCTTAAAACAGCCAACATAACAGCACGTGAAGAATGTAATTTTTTCAACGACCAATTACATTTTTGGCCGCAAGCTGTTGAAAGGTGCAGCTAGAAACATCGCACCTATCCGAGGTCCCGGATGGATTTTATGAGACAAGGAGCATCACGGTTAAAGCTGATAGTGTGTTTCCTGCCACCACGTTGTCATGTCCAATTCGGTGTAAATCTGCATGTGATTTTCTCACATCCCTTCAGGCAAATCCACGCAGGCGCTCAATTTATCATCGTGAGCATTCTTGTTTTTTTTCTATTATCATCCATTGCATGCAATAAACGGAAGGCATATGATGTTACCTTAACCAGAACGGGTATGATCTACTTATTCTAAACAACCGTTTCTGACCTGAAAATAAACATTTCATTTTGAATGGGATGTCGGTTGTATCTCTGGAGATTGTTGCTGTAGGATGTTGTGCGAGATATGACCTAAGATGTGTCACCTACAATTAAAATAAGACATTATTTCAAGCAGCCTTTGATGGCCGAGTCCCGTTACTCTGTGGCAATCTCAAATTAAAGTCTTGTGATTCTAAATTAATACTGATATATTGAAAGTCCGTGTGACATTGAGCAAAGAGGCACGTTATCACGCCATGTATTCTATACTCGGTGTGTATTCTATACTTGGTGTGTACGGGCAGTGCTCGGGTTACGAACCAAGTTCGTTCCTGAGACCCGTTCGTAAGTCGAACGGTTCGTAAGTCGGAATACATTGATGCACTTAATTTAAATGCCCATACGGTCAGTGGTATGAAATGTGTTACGGTAAAAAAAGGGAAGCATTGTTGAACTCATAATTAAGAAGAAATATTGGACATTTCTATGTAACGCTATAAAAAATTGCTGTCTAGTAAATAAAACATGAAATAAAGTAACATAAATTGACAAAAAAAACATTTATTTTGATTTGAGTCCTAATGCTAGCTTGTGGTCGGAAGGGGGGCAATTCGTCACCACAATTGCACACACACAGGGCAACGCGTGCACACACACGAGACAAAGAACCCCCGTATAGCCTTAACAGACTGTTGGGGCAAGTGTTGTTAGCGAGCACCTATGAAGGCCAGCACGGCACACGAGGGCCATCACCACGCCCGGCAGCCTTTGTATCCCCAGTGGCGATGTTTACACTCCGCACCAGGTACTCATTTGAGGTCGAGTCGACCTAGGGGAGGCCCAGGACCGGTTCAGATAATCGTCACCGGTGTTTGCCGTGAGCGCGAATCGAACCGGGGTCGCCAGGTTCGTAGCGCACCGCGCAAACCACGACACTACCGCTAAGCTACACACACACAAACACTCACTCCCAGCGCGAGGCCGACTTATTTACACCTCGCGGAAGATCGCTCCTCTGAACAAAATAGTTCCGTGGTTCAGTTTTCAATTGCGAGTTCGCGTCTTAAGTCAACGTAATTTTTTGTATATTTCACGGAAGCTGGTTTGTAAGTAAGGGTGTTCATAAGTCGGGAGTTCGCAAGCCGAGGCCGGCTTGTATATTTAAATATTCTACCAACAATCTCTACATTACGGGAAGATGGAACCGAGTTTATAAATTCCCATGTATGCTACCTGTGGGGCACCTGCTTCCTACGGCATCGTCGTTAGCTCCGGACCAAACTGCCGCAGTGCAATACTGGACCGCGTGAATGGACTGTTTCTGGAGCGAATGGTAACTAACCGATGCCTGTTCTCATGATGTTGAGGCCATTACGGTTCAGTTACGCAGGGAGTGAGAGAGACCAAAACACGCATATCAGAGCAAATGCTACGGATAGACATTCTAACAACTCCCCCGTGTGGACAACGGCTCATGCGCGCGTGCGTCGCGGCGCGTTCTGGAAATGATCCCTTGCGCTTCGGTGCGCGATTGCCGACCAAGCAGCACTACAGAGCTGCTCAAATTGCGTGCAGGTCACCGATATCACTTGACCTTCGTGCTGCACATCGCAGCGCGCGTTCAAATGGCACACCTACGGTTGCAATCCAAAACTTCCCGAAGTACTCGCGGGGGTTTTGAGAAACTGGCAGCCACGACAGTATGAAATGTTCTTTGTGGTGGTGTACAATGCGCGTGCGTAGTCGTCCACAACATTTCGATATATACTCTAATGCCTATTTTCTCAACCGTAGTAATTTCAAAATTCTAGCATCAATAGATCACTGGAATATTGCCAATTCTTTTTTTTCAAAATCTGCGAAATAATTATTTGCAAACCTCCACCATCTCTAATCGTTCGACACCAGCGTGCGCGTCTCCGCGCGCTCGCGCTGCGCACGAATGTTGATCATCAGGAGCGCGTTTTTCTGAAACTCTTTTCAACGCGCAAACAACACAATTACGTAATGCGCAACCGTGCAATTCCACGTCTCATTGTATCGCGTGAACCTCGACATTCGGTTGCGGCGATGACCAAGTCTACCCAGGGACGTGCCGTGGTCCCAGTAAAAGTGAGCAGTATTGTTCCCTCTCGGATTTTCCCACCAGGAAAACGGTGCAGCTTCGCGAAAGAACACGATCTGGTGACAGCTCAGCAGCAGCAGCAGCACCCACTACGGTGCATTGCCCTTAGCCACCGATTTCCTGTAGTGCTCTAATCAATTGATGAACCACCTGCTCATGCCACCTGCAATCAAAAAAACTCAGGCTGGAGCTCGCTACCACCCACCTTAGCTCGAGGCACCGCGCGTGCCTGAAAGCACTCACGAGTAATTGGGGCGGCGAGGAGCACGGGGGGTCGCGAGTTACCTTGATGAGCTTGCAGCGGATCTGCGCCGACACCATGTGGCTGTTGCGCAGGTTCCCGATGCGGAACATGAGGCAGAGCTGCCCGTCCCGCCGGGAGATCACTGCGCTCTGGCTGAACATGAGTGTCTCTGCGCGCTTCTTGGGCTGCGACATCTTGATGAACATGCAGCCGATGAGGAAGGCGTCCACGATGGAGCCCAGGATGGACTGGAAGAGAAATAGGATGATGCTCTCGGGACACTTGTCCGTGATGTAGCGGTATCCGTACCCGATCGTGGCCTCGGTCTCGATGAAGAAGAGGAAGGCCGACGGGAAGCTGTGCACGTTGGTGACACACGGCGTGTAGTTGCCATCGTGTGTCTTGTCCAGGTCCCCGCGCGAGTAGGCGATGAACCACCACATGGAGGCCATGAAGAGCCAGGCCACGGTGTAGGTGAGCACGAAGATGAACATATTCCAGCGCCACTTGAGGTCCACCAGCGTGGTGAAGAGGTCGGACAGGTAGCGGCTCGTGTCGCTGCCAATGCTGCCGTTCTGCACGTTGCAGTGGCCGTTCTTCTCCACGAAGCGCTGCCGCTTCCTCTTGGAATCCCTCTCCGAGTCGCCGGTGGCAGCGCCCACGCCGCTGGTGCTCACCACCTGGTAGTCTTCACCAAATTTTCGACGGAGAGCCGACATTCCTCGCGCGAACGTTGCGTCTCAGTCGATTAAATCGAGCTGCGGTGCGCGCTGAAACAGGGTCGCCTCTTCTTTGCATGTGAAAAGGCAAGGGCAGCCGCGGACCTCGTCTCATTAATTGGAGTTGCGCATTACGCAACGTTCCATATGAGCGATATCACCCGTCCCTGGCATTCTGGTCGCGGCATGACGATACCTTGACGACGCGAAAGTGAAAAGCATCGCACGTCGCAATCCTCCTCGTCCACGGTTACGCAGCAGAGACGATCGCGATTGAGCAGCCGCGCGCTCCGTCGTCTGCGAAACGTCGCGCGGTGCCTCGGCCACGCATCAGCTCGCCACTGTGAGTGGGGGTGGGTGGGGGGTAGTGGTCGCGCACGACTTGACGCCTCGGTCCCTCAAACAATACGGGCGCTGATGCTGGCTCCAGCAGAGCTCCCTCCTCTCTCTCTCTCACTCCCTCCCTCCCTTCTCGCCTCGGAGTCCTTAACAAGCTACGGCAAGTGAGCGCTCCCTCCTCCTCCTCCTTCCCATTCCCCCGCTCCTCCTCCGAAGCACCTCCATACCCCCATGTTCTGTTCATAAATGCCGGGTTGCTATGGGTATAAAACTGGACTTTTTGTGTCGTGGGTTCTGTGGGGGTTTTTTATTTATTTAAATAATCATCCTGTTTTGTGCATAATTTTTACTCGTAATTTTCACGGTATTATTCCCAAACAAAAAAAATCTCGAAAAGGAAAAACGGGTGCCTCACTCACGGGAGGAGTGGGGGGGGGGTGTACAGAAAAAAAGAAGGGGGATTTGCGATGCAAACAGCCGGAGCCAATGATTGTTGTGCAAGGTTTTGCGGTGGAGTCGAGATGTGCGTGGCGTGCGCGCGCCGCCTGTTCGGTGTGCACCGCTCGGCGGGGAATCGAACCGTGACGCGAACCTTCGTGTCCCCATCGCGAGAAGCTTCTGCGGGACCCACGTGCTACCGGCTGTCACGCGGCATCGTTCGTGACCGCGAATGCAGAGATATTTTTTGACATTTTGCTTTGCATTGCAGCGATTGGTATTTTGCCCGAATGAACAATTGCACACTGTTTTGATGAGAGTTAAAAAATAATGAATGTTTAGTATGCGGCGTTGTTGTGGTGCATTAAATCTATACACCCCCATTAAAATGCAAGCGTCAATATTTGTTCCTGATACATTGATAACGCGATATTCCAGCAAAAGGTTATGCGCACGTGTCTGTATACATGGCGTGCGTAAACAAGCTTGTGTACAGATGTTCTATTTGGCAAGATTAATAGTTAGCGTGTATAGGTGCATTACAGAGTATCATTAGTGAGTAATTATCATCATCATTATCGCCGTCAGCCGTGCATTCTATCGACGGTAGCATAAAGAATTCATCGTGCTGGCGCCTCTGCGTTTCAAGTCGTATGCAACTGAAGTCAATATGATCCAACGTTCTCTGATAATGTCGCTCAATGTGCACGCTGATGGCCCCTGGAGTATTCTCTCTGTCATTCTGTCACCATTTGTTTTCATCAGCTGTCACTCCAGCCTCTCGCGCACATAAGCGCCATATTCTACCTGGGGACAGCGGCTCTTATAATTGGATCAGGATCATTTGACGGTCTTGGCTTGGTGTCTGTCCATGTTTCTTGATCTGCTGCGCCTTTCGTTCATTTCGAGTCTGAGAAATAAGCAAGCAAGCGCCAGAAACGATACGCAGGTGTTCGGCCATGCGCCGACATGGCACGCGAATGATAAGGGTTGGATACATGATTCATGCAATTTGGAAATGTCATTTTGCACGGTCACGGCAACGTTGTGAGCACCAAAACTGAAAAGGGAACGAAATGTGCGTTAAGGTCAGAGATTGCTGATTACGATCAGCGGGAGGTCCATTCCGAGTGGCTGGCTGGCTCGTTAGTTATATCGGGTTAGGGTCAGGGGGAGAGCCAGTTCCAGTGTTTGGTTGGCGTTGTATAGGGTTATTGTCAGTGTGAGGGTTAGTAATCGTGGCTGGCTGGCGAGTTAGTTATATAGGGTTAGGGTCAGGGGGAGGGCCAGTACCAGTGTTTGGTTGGCGTTGTATAGGGTTATTGTCAGTGTGAGGGTTAGTAATAGTGGCTGGTTGGCGAGTTAGTTGAAAAGGGTTATGGTCAGGGGGAGGGTTAGTACTGGTGGCTAGTTGACTCGCTAGTTGTATCAGGGTTATGGTCAGTGGGAATGGTAGCACGAGTGGCTGGTTGACTGGTTAGCTGGTTGGATAGGGCAAGGGTCGGTGGGAGGGTTAATGCTTGAGGCTAGTTGGCTATTTTGGATTCGGCTAGGATCAGTGGGTGGGCTGTCTAGTGCTAATGGCGAGTTAGCTTGGTTTTTTCCCCAGATGCCGGTGTGTGCGCTGTGCGCAGGTGGGAACTGTGGTGGGAGATGAGCCATGCTGTTCACGCCCGGATTGCACGAACAATTGACCGTGGGATTCGTGCCCAACGCGTGTATGTTTTGCATTACTGTGTCTGCACGCATGCGTTAATTGTATTTTCCCCTCGTATAGTGCCGTATCAAGGGTACGCAATTCTGTGGCGTAATTCCTAGCACGTTGGACTTGTAATCCAGGTCACCAGTACGATTCCCCGGAGCGGCAGTTGGAACAAAAATGGGCACGCTTCTTAAATACCCATGCCTCTGTCCACGGAGCAGGATAAATGAATGCGCCACAGTTAATCGATCATCAGGTGGCGTGTGGTGGGGTAGGGTGTGGGTACTGCCAACTCTTCCAAGACGTATGGCCTAGAGGGGGCTCTGAAGAGCATCCTCTTGTCGTTATCGTGGTAGCCTTTTCCGCCAGCAGCGAACTGCGCAATACATTGCAGAGCTGTGCCATTACCTTTACAGCGGTCTAATTGGCGTCGTTCAAGCCCTGCCAGCGGAGTGCTCACGAGCGGGTTGATGACACCACTGTTCATCGCGGCATCATCAAGCTCCGTCATTCTATACTGTGTCATGGGGAAACAGAACAGCGGTCACCTTTGCTTGCGTTCCAACTAAATGGTCATCCTCGCATCGGCTTTTGGCGAACCATCGAACAAAGACGGGCACTGCATCGCGCGCTTTCAGGTGCCCTTCTGCGGTCGTCTGGAACGCTCTTCCTTCCGATATTTCAATGCGAATTGAGCTATGCGCTTTTTAATCTGCATTGAAAAGATTTTCTTGAGAACTGAGTTTTTCTGTTTAGTTTGTTGCCCTTGGCTACGTACGATGCGAAATAAGTTCAACACACACACACATACGTACGTACATAAATACCGCGTGCAATTAAGCAGGAACCCGGGCGATGAAACCCCTTATTCCAATCACCATAAGCTATACCCGCAGCAATTTGCCAACAAATGTGTTGCAATACAATCGCATGTTTAACGTAATGGCGGCACGCTGACGTCTTCTTAGCGCGTGTTCTCCACCACATTCGTAATTATTGACTGCCCGAAAGGGATTTTTTTTTTACGTTTCGGGAAATGGTCCTTTTTATAGCAGAGAGATTGAGAAGGCTGCGTTCGAAATCTATCTGTCGTGAAAAGGGTCTCAATGTCTGAGATCGTTGACGTTTTCCCCTTTTAGGGAGCAGCGTTATCGACGAATGTGTAGAGTTTTTTGTGATTTGTGCCCCACTGCAAACACGGTATCACACAAACAAAATCACCACTTTCACTGTGATAATGGACTGGAGCGTGTCACCAGCCGGGTAACGTGTGGGCAGTGGAGTCTGTAAGACACTACCATCATTTAATTTCATCGCTTTGCTGGTCCACACGCGAGACCGTGGTGAAGGCTCACTTTCATCGATCGCGCCGGAGAGGCGGGCGGACGTCAGCGTCAATTGAGGGACCTAGTCCCTCCACACAACCGCCTGGCCACGCCACTGATGACTTGTTAATTGGCGAGGCTGAGATAGATGTAGACCTTCTTCTACTTCGCCGTCTGGAGTCCCGCGAGTTTTTCTATTAAACGCATGGCCCACATTGAAGTGGGTAGACGTTTGATTAATGAAGACTCAATTCCAAGCACTTGGTTATATTGATACGCTATTTGCGATTGTAGATATTCTCACAAAATGATCCGTAGGTATTTGGTAAGAACATTGTGTACCCTTTCAAGTGGCGTTTCCCTTGCATACCCAGTTGTTGCAGACCTGGTCAGTCAGACACGTACGGTAAATCATGTTACGATACGTTAACATGAAATAAAAACAATGCATTTGTGTGGATTCCTGAACGCAATAGCAATGCAACTTTGTAATCAACATGTATTTGTATTGTTTCACTTCTACGATCATTATTATGACCACACGCTGAAGTCAGATGGGTAGAGCTAATGCATTAACGATTTAAACCTTCGCTGGAAAAGGCGTAAACATTTCCCCTATTGAACCCAAACGTTGGCTTATAATGATACGAGGTTATGCACGCGGGTATTGAAGAACTGTACGTGTCAGGACATGTTTGAATTCTCGTACCCGAGGGACCAAATATTGTCAAGTTGTATTCCTGACCACGGCTAACTTCATTGGCGAGAAGATCGTCTAAACGGGTCCTGACCAACCCCTCACCTCCCTGACACGATTCACCAACCTGCATTCACCAGTATGCTAACGTTACATGCCCTATATGATGGCAAGACACGGCCTTCATCGAAGTCGATTGAGTTTGTTTTATTAGTACACTGATAATATACCATTATATCGTACATATATACATACAAAAAAGCGTTATGATTAAAAAAAAATAGGTGTAACGGTTTCACGGCACATTTTATTGAAAAAAATATTTTCTGACTACACATTTGCATGCACCACATAATCCCACACATAATCGTCCGTACATTTTTTTTCTTTCTCCAGGTCTCCCTGACAAAAGGTTTCCTCACAAAGAAGTCGCGCCTGCTCTAACCCCGAAAAGCCACGTTTCAACTAAGGACAGGGTTCATTTTAGGGCAGGGTACGGAACCTTTTTTTCACTGAGGGCCCACTAAGACACACATGAACAAACGCTTCAGCAGTCGCGTTTGTCACACTGCATGAGCTTCTTGCAGTGTTATATGTGACTTCACTGCGTTTAAAGTTTAAACAGCATTTGCCAGGTCCATAATATTCTCCCCTAGTACCTGATCAAGTTCGGCTAAGATGCTAACAGTGACGGATAAAGAGTGTCGTTTCCGCACCGTTTAAAAGTGCGTGGCCACAGGCAGTTTGATATCGAAGTCGCGGGCTGCCTCTGGACACTGCTTCTCCACTCATAATTTAGAGCAGGGGTCCTCAAACTTTTTAAACAGGGGGCCAGTTCACTGTCCCTCAGACCGTTGGAGGGCCGGACTATAGTTAAAAAAAA